TAAGAGCCCACACAAGCTTTTTCTTTCCATCTTAATAGCAGAAACAAGCTGCTTGCTTTGGTTTGATTTCCTCATTTCCCAATTGGTAGGATATCTGAAGCATCATTCCTTATCTTAGTTCCTTAAATGTATTTTTATTTACCTGGTTTTATTGTGTGTGTGTGTGTGTGTGTGTGTGTGTGTGTATGGATATTTCTGTGTGTGTGTCTGATGATACATACACACACACAAACACACACACATATATATATACCTGGTGGACATGTCCAGAAGCTAAAAACTATTGGATTAAATTTAAGACTTGGTTGGAGGAAATGATACATCAACGTATCGAATTTAAACCAGAGCTGTTCCTACTGGGTATCCTACCTGAAAAAATTAGCAAGGAAAAAGTTTATCTGATAATACATGTAATAAAGCTGCAAGGATTGTCTATGCACAAAATTGGAAAGCGGAGAAAATACCTTTGGAAGAAGTAATAAAAAAAATCTTAAGATTGTGCAGAAATGAATAGATTAACTCTGATGATTAAAGATAGAGAAGACTCAGAATATTTTAAAATATGGAATGATTTTTATTATTGGCTGGAGAAGAGATATAAATGATTAATTATATAAGTATGTAAAAATATGTGATGAGTTGAATGTTATGTTAGTGATGAATTGATATTGTGGACTGGATAAGGATCAAGATAGAAGTAATGACAACTACACAGAAAAAGAAAGAACTTTGGAAGATAACACCGAGATGTCACAGGGAAGAAGGAATATATATATGAGTTGGGAATATATATATGAGTTGGGAATATATATATGAGTTGGTTTGGAGTTTGGCAGTAGTAGAATGAAATCCAAATTCAATTCAGGAGATTGGATTAGAAGACCTCCAAGATCCCTTCCAGCTCTATTCTGATTAACTGATTGATTGATAACAATTAACCTGATTTCTGAATTAATCTATTTTCAGGGTTCACACACTACGTCATACAATTAAATAATAACCCGAGTTAACTTCACACAACACCTTAAGTGACAACAAACAAAACTAAGGATTACACTAACCAAAGTCAACAAGGGAGTGTACAAAATCAACTGCTAGATCAGTGTTTCTCAATCTTGGCAACATTAAATTCTGTGGACTTCAACTCCCAGAATCCCCCAGCCAGACTAAAGTGGCCAAGGTTGAGAAACACTGTGCCAGGTTTTCATCAGACCTGGTTAAATGTGATGTAGGGATATTACTTTCCATCTGCTTTCATTTTCATTTCTCCTGTCTTGGCTAAAGAGAGGGGTGTCTTTTTATCCAGATACAATAGCAGAGCAAAAGCATCTTACATTACAGTCAATTATTTACAAGACCAAATTATTCTGCAATCGTTCTTATTTTCCCCTTTCACATTGCTTTCATCTTGTCCTCAGCCCATGAGTGAGAGAAATGGTTATAAGCTGTGATGATATAAAAATAGCATTTCCCCACTTGTTTGAGCAATGTCTAACAACAGCCTTGCGTGTACAATATAAAATCTCTTAAAATGTTATTAGCATTTACTTTGGAGGGAAGAACCCTTTTCAACTTAAAACTGATGAATGCTTCAGAGAAGTAGATAAAGACATCCTTGCCCCTGAATACAGGGATTCAACTTCTAACTATTAAGTGAAGAAGAGACTTCAGGGTCAAGATTTGCTCTGACTGGGGAGAGGAACAATAGAAGCAAGATATGGACTTGGTAAGGGGAATAGCAAATTTAATGCTGGGGTTGTCTTCTGCCCATTCAAGAGTAAAAAGCTTTTTAATTCAGTTGTGGGGAAAGACCCTTTGACCTGCATGGAATTTAGAGCTTATGCCATACTTTAATTATTCATGCAGGTTTTAAATTTTTTATTTATTCAGTGTAGTGACTCTGGGTGGCTAGCTACATGGAAAACACCCCCCCACACCCCACACCCATACATAAATAATTCAGCAAAGCAGTAGAAACATGCATGCACCTCTATTATAACAGATAGAGGATATAGAAGCAGTGGTGGGATTCAAATAATTTAACAACTGGTTCTCTGCCCTATTGACTGGCTGGGTGGGCGTGGTCATGGTGGGCATGGCCATGGGGGTGTAACAGGCAGCACTCAGCCTCCTGCACCCTTCTGGGAGCAAAAAAGGGCTGGGGGGGGGAAAGGATGCACCGACCCCCATTTTGAGCTTAGTAGGCCTCCCTGCACTCCCTTGGGAAGTGAAAACAGGGCCTAGGAAGCCTCCCTGAAGCTTCCTGGAAGTAAAAATGGGCCATGGGGAGTGTCCCCCGTACCCTGTTTTGGGCCTAGGAGGCCTCCCTGCACTTACCTGGGAGCCGAAATGGGGCACGTGGGGAATCCTGGAAGGGACGGGGCAGGGCAGCACCAGCCAGCAATTTAACTACTGGTTCACCCTGTAAGGTCCCAAAATATACTCGAGTCACCAGAATGCCAAAGAGAGAGACTCAAGATGAGGCTTGCAAAAAAGCAGATTTTATTCATGGCCAAAAACAAAATACTGGGTGGAACTATATCCAGAACATACAGATACAATGCATGTGAGGAGACAGCCACACCTTGGGGAAGGTATGGTGTCCTTTTATACCCTCAGAGACGTCGGCTTAGTACCCAATTCTGGCCTCCTAATTTAGGTTTGTGTATTCCTTGCTGCCCTGCAAGGGAATAGAAATTTCCCAATTAGTCGTCCTTGAGCATTCCTTTGTTTTCTCAATTGGCCATTTAGCCCCCTGGTTCTGCAAGGCAGGAGCTCATCCAGATCAAACATAAATTAGGGCTCAGGTGTAAATTATCCCTTGGAGATACGTACCATGCTCTTAGATGGCACAAGAAAAACAGGAAGAAGATTGATATGGGTTCAGGTCAAATGGCAGGGACATATGTTTGACAAATACCAGATACATTACAGAGGCCTAATAACAGAATATGTTTGTTACAGGCGATACAAATATAAAGGCATAATATATGTGACACAAATACAAAGGCATATATTACAGGAACCTAATGGTTACAGAATCTAGTATACCAGTATATCATATTCTACTGTTATTTATTATATCCTTATTATTGTTTCCCTTCAACCCGAACCGGCTGAATCCCACCATTGTAGAGAAGTAAATCCACTCCATATTTGGGGATTTAACTTCAAGAGGAGTAGTTCTTAAACTGTTTGACCCAATTACCCTTGTTTTCAGTCTCAAATAATGTCATTAACCTGACAAAAATAGCAGAATCTCTTATTTTACAGTTATCTTAACAGTGGCAGTCCAAAAACCGGCCCTCAGTTCACAATCAAGCAATTACAAATTGTTCTATTCATACAATTAGGATATGCTCAAATTACCACCTTGGGGGAATTACCCCCCTCACCCCAGTTTAGGAATCACTGTTCCATGGACATTCTGAAGCATAGATGCACCCATAAATCAGGTCAGTGCCTGGCCACATACATTGCTTTGAATCCTGATTTAATTTAAATAGGATTTGTTAAATAAGGCATGGTGACTGGCTTTACACATCACACTAAGTGAAAACTAAACAAAGCACATTAAGGCTGAGAGTAAAGTGTGAAGACAGTCAGTGATTTGGCAGGTAGATACTGGCATCTGAAAATAGGGGATGAGTAAGTAGATGAAATTCTGAAGAGGGAAATGTCTGATTTATGGCTGATTCCATTCACTGGAATATAGTTAAATATAGAGGCATTAAGGAGTTAGGTTTGTTAATTGTTTATCTAAATTATATCTCACCTTTTTGCCATTCTGTGCTAAATTGAATAAAGCATTCAATTTTTAAAATAATTTCTAAAAAAGTATCATTGAAGATGGAGGACAGTAAGAAGGTTAGCGGGTGAATACAGGACAAGCTGGTAGGAAGTTTCTGAGAAGATCAAAGGGGTGGCCACTATGTACAGTATATTGGGTGGTAACAGTCAATGCTAAGAAGATTTAGGATGGCTATTGTGAATACATGTTCCAATATCTAAGGGGTTGCCACAAAGAAGAGGGAGTCAACCTATTCTCCAAAGCACCTGAGGACAGGACAAGAAGCAATGGATGAAAACTAATCAAGGAGAAAAGCAACCTAGAACTATGGAGAAATTTCCTGACAGCTAGAACAAATAATCAGTGGAATAATTTGCCTCCAGAAGTTGTGAATGCTCCAACAAATTTTTAAGAAGAGATTGGACAACCATTGTCTGAAATGGTATAGGCTTTCCTGCTTGAGCAGAAGGTTGGACTAGAAGATCTCCAAGGGCCCTTCCAACTCTGTTATTCTGTTCCATTATTCTGTTAATATAGGTGCCACCCATGCCACAATAACAACAAATTATTTGATCTGAGCTGTTTATATAACACATACCATTCCAAAGGCAAAGCTGCAATTTGAAATAAGGCCCATTTTCCAATTTGTGTGAAAGCATGCATCAGTTCTTTCAGTATCCATCCCTTCCTAATTTCCTCCTTGTATGTCTGTGAGGTCTGTTCCACATTGTTGAGTCACTATGGGACTCCCAAATGTGTTGCTTTATATTCTTTGAAGTTAGATGAATAAGAATTATTGATATCTTAATTCCTGGACTCTGTGTGCACAACTGAATCCCAGAGGCTCTGCTATGGAGACCAAAGGCAGATGGTGTGCTCAGCACCTTAAAGCATCAAGGACAAGATGCTGTAGTACTGTAGACCAAGCAGAATGAGGCCATTAGTGCTGTTTCTTGTTGGTGCTGTCAGTTCAGCAAGCCAACATAAAGTCTTCTGTTACTGAATTAATATAAGGAAATGGAAAGAGATAGCCCCAGATGCTAATTATCCTAAGCAGGGGTGTTCTTGAGGGAAGGAAAATATGAAAAAAGTCAAGATGGTTGACTTGTGATTTGGAGGAGGTGCCTTTAATAAAGGAAAGTTAGATATCTGTAGGATGGCAAACTTTAAACATTGCTGATGCGCTTCCCATCTTCCTTCCTTCCAACAGGTATTCTGAAGAGGATATCCGGCAGAAGGTTGGCACCTTCCGGCAAATGCTGATGGAAAAGGAGGGTGTTCTCACCCGTGAAGACCAACATGGACGGCATATGTGAGTATGGAGAGGTTGCTATGCAATCATGTCAATTTGGCTTCTTTTTTTCCAGCTTTGTGGAGCAGATTCAAAAGAGTCTAATTGCCCCCAAATCAGTGGTGGGTTTCAAATTTTTTTACTACCGATTCTGTGGGTGTAGCTTGGTGGGTGTGGCAGGGGAAGGATACTGTAAAATCTCCATTCCCAGCCTACTCCAGGGGAAGGATACTGCAAAATCTCCATACCCTCCCGATCAGCTGGGACTCAGGAGGCAGAGAATAGATGGGGGTGGGGCCAGTCAGAAGTGGTATTTACCAGTTCTCCAAACTAATCAAAATTTCTGCTACCGGTTCTCCAGAACTGGTCAGAACCTGTTGAAACCCACCTCTGCCCCAAATCCTTTCATGTAGAAATTTAGCATGCCAGCAAAAAGGATAAACTGGACTTTCCATCCAGTATTCTTTTTTTTCTACCCACTGAGGGGGGGAAATGTCTCCCTGCTGAAGAAAACAGCAAATCCCATGACAGTCAGTTAACATTTCATCAGTTAGTGTTGCTCTGATACAACTAACACAAGCCTTCGCAGAAAGGGAACTGGTGCTCATAATTAACCTGTACATTGTTCTACCCAGTGGTATGGGTGGTATGATAACTACCACCAATGCCATAAAAATAGCAGGAGCCCCAAATATCAGATAATTAGTGTGGTGATTCTCAATTACAATCCAATATGGCCATTGAAAAGGAACCATATTGCAAAATACTGGACTAAAATATTTAAATTTTTATCCATGAAACTACAGTACAGGCAGAGGGAGATGGTTGTAAGAACCTCTCCTGTCTCTAAATACTTATTGGGAAACACAGTTTTCTCTCCCCCCACCCCAATGTAGCCCCTTTGATGGTTCTGTCCAGTTCAGATGGGGGCCTGGACTTAACTCCACAATAATCTCAATTCTGGGGAAGTGATTCTTAAGGGAGGAAATCATAGACAATCTTTTTCCTACTTCGCAGGAACTTTGTCCTTAGCTGGTTCAATCACTGCAGAAAGTAACAGTTTCTCAGTATAGTACAGCTATTAAAAGGTAAAGATTTCCCTCGCACATATGCGCTAGTCGTTCCCAACTCTAGGGGGCAGTGCTCATCTCCATTTCAAAGCCGAAGAGCCAGCACTGTCCGAAGACGTCTCCGTGGTCATGTGGCCAGCATGAATAAATGCCAAAGGCGCACGGAACACTGTTACCTTCCCACAAAAGGTGGTCCCTATTTTTCTACTTGCATTTTTTACGTGCTTTCAAACTGCTAGGTTGGCAGAAGCTGGGACAAGTAACGGGAGCTCGCCTGTTATGCGGCACTAGGGATTCAAACTATTGCACAGGTTTATTGAACCACAGCTTGAATATAGTTACCCCCTCAGTACATTCCTCACTTCCAGCACAACTAATTAGAGACACTCATTGCTGATGAATGCTGTTTCCCCAACTAATGTTAGCAGGAGAATTATCTAAATTAGTCGTCAGATAGTTGGGAAAAGTTATCTTGTAACTCTAGAAAGATTGCTGAAATGAGGAGATAGCAGAGAAGTAGCAGGCAAAAAACAGCTAATAAAATGGCAAGGTATGGATGAGAGAAGCTTTTATACTTCGCACACAAGCACACCCAGAGATAGGCAAGCACAGTTCCTTTTAATCTCCGGTTTTATAATCTGAAAGTGTTGATTCTGACCAGCTGGTTTTTATCCTGGAATATTGTTACAAAAGACTAATGGAGAAGACTATTAGAAAGGGATTTGGCTCTTCTTAGCCAGCTCTTCATCATCGTAATTCATGTCCTGGCCAGTTCTTTTATCCAGCAGTTGTACTTGGATGTTCCCCTGATCTTTGGTACATCATTGTTTTAGTTTATCCCAATATTTGTATTTTCATGCACTTCGGTATTCATGTATATGTACTTGACTGAACATTCAACAGATAGTTCATTAAGTTCAATATTAATCTTGATCACTAGAAAAGGTTAATTGGCTGGGCAAGCCTTCAAAGAGATTGCTCTTTGTCATGCTAACCCTTGGTTTCTGAAGCACTCTTCCTATACTGTGGATAGATTGTGTCAAGGCTAATTCAATTCAGTCTAAATTCATCATCCCAACCATTTTCTGTCAAATGACCAACCATCCCTGCTGTCATTGGCTAGTTAACCAGTCTATTTGCTGCTTGTCAAAAACCACCAATTTATCAAAAGGAGAATACAACTTGCTATGAACAACACTATAGTCTTCTCTTCTCTGGAGTTTATTTCCTAATGGATCACAAAGATGGTGATCTGTCCCTTGCACAAGTCTTTTCGTCATTAAGGATGTTGCTTCTTCTGAACTGGAGGCTTCACCTGAACTAAAGGCCTGGAGTCTAAAACATATGAAGAACAGTTGCAGGAATTGAGTATGGCTAGTCTAGAGAAAAGAAGGACTACGGGTGACATGATAGCAGTGACATGATTCCAGTATTTGAGGGGTTGCCACAAAGAAGAGGGGGTCACCTTATTTTCCAAAGCACCAAAAGGCAAGACAAGAAACAATGGAAGGAAACTAATCAAGGAGGGCAGCAACCTGGAATTAATTAGAAACTTCTAACAGTGAGAACAATTAACTAGTAGAACAGCTTGCCTTCAGAAGTTGTGGGTACTTGGTCACTGGAGGTTTTAAGAAGAGAGTTAGTTGTTGGAAATGGTATAGAGCTTGGCAACTTTAAGCCTGGTGGACTTCAACTCCCAGAATTCCTCAGCCAGCAAAGCTGAATTCTGGGAGTTGAAGTCCTCCAGGTTTAAAGTTGCCTAGTTTGGAGACCCCTGGTATAGAGTATCCTGCTTGAGCAGGGGTTTGGACTAGACGACTTCCCAGGTCCCTTCCAGCTCTATTTTGATTGATTGAACTAATGTACTACACATTGCACAGCAAATGAATTACACATGAACGTACAGCCATCAGCCAGGAGAACCATCAGGAGACCAAGAGACAAATCAGAAGGATTTTCCGGAGTGGAATAAAGTTAATTTATTAGCATGAAAACTTTGTTAGCTAGGGCTGGCCATTTGGGACATCAGAGATAAATTAGCCATGGTCCTGAGGAAGGGAAGGAGAAAAACAGGCATAATGCTCAGAATGGAATCAAAAGATGCCAAAGGAGTCCTAAGCCTTAGCTTTCAAGGTTAGATCAGTTTCTTTTTTTTAGCAACCTCCATCTGCTTTGCTTGTAATCATGACCTTGCTGCAGATATAATGCCTTATTTCAAGTAAGAACTAGCTAGCCGTGTTTATGTAATAAGATTAACTAGGTTAGCTAAGGTTCTGCTGGCAGCATCTACATAACACATTTCATTTGTACCACAAAAGTTGATTGCTGCCTGGCCTTGGTTAGGTTAATGTGATATTTGGTTAGTTTATGGGTCAAAGTACTACAAGGATAAGAATGTTATGTAAACCCAAATGATGTTTATTACATGTAACCTAAACTATAGATTAGCAAGAGCAGATGCATTTGCATCTCAAGCTCCACTGAGACCCCCAAAAGTTTCATTTTGATCACAATCTAAATTCTAAAAGGTTCTTCTACCAGATGAAAAGCAGCTAAAGGAGATCATTTGGGGACTGAAGTGCTTCAAAACTCCCTCTTCTTCTTGCCTGCCCCACTTCTTCTGTTTTATACATGACTATATTGTATCCTCCATCATTTTAGAGGTGAAAATTAGGGATATGCTTGTTCTCAAAACCAAGCGCTGAGTACAGGACTGGAATGGCATTGATCATGCTTGTAGGTGACCTCTGGCAGAAGTGGATAATGGTCATCTCTTCCTTTGAGCTCTTAGTAGCTTTCAGCACACCCTTGATCATGGTATTTTTCTGAATTGGATTGGGGAATGGGTAGCATTCCATTATGCTGGTTCTCTTCCTTCTCCAAGGGCCAGTTCCAGTCAGTGTTGATAAAGGGTAGGAGTTTAATCTGTGGCCTATGGTTTACAGGGTCCCAAAGGCTTCAGCAGGCTCTCCACTCTTGTTTATGTCCTTACCTATGATATCTCTAGATAAAGTCATCTGGCAGCATCAGTATGATGTAGTAACTTTATGTAATAACTTTACAAAGTAATTTTATATCTCCACCCTGCCCACTGAAATGATGCTATGGAGGTTCTGTCTTTATGTCTGAAGGCTGAGAGGGTTTGGATGGGAAAAAACAGACTTCAACTCAACCTTGCAAAACTAAATGGCTCTGAGTTTTAGGGATCCCTTATTCTGAAGAGTTTCTATATCTTGGTCTAGATCAGGGATGTCCAATTCTTTGGCTTGCCTGGACTGGATTAGTTAGACTTTTGGCCTGATCCAACATAATCTTCTTTTGGTTGATCTTGTGATAGAACTAGTGAAGGATGTATAGCCTGCTTTATGATGCTGTTCTTTAGCTTGCAATCTATTGTATCAGCTATGAATACATGGCAGTATCACGAAGTCAAATCTAATAGGGAGCAATGAGATTCAACTTTCTTTCAATGGAAGAACATTTGTATTGTGTTTCATTGTTCTCCTGCCCACAAATTATTGCAAAAAAAACTGGACACACAGACAATACAATCCCCTTCTCAGTCTTCTGTCATGAGACAATAATGAACTGAAGCTCACAATACTGTTTTTAAGAATTTTCCTCTATTTTGCTTTCCAATAACAATAGAAAAAAGGCTGTAATGTTAACCAGAAGAATTCATGGATATGTCCATGAACTTACCAAAGGACAAACTTTGACTCAAACGATACTTTATCTTTTATCCTGGAGAAAACTATGAGTAGGCTTTTTACCCATCCAAAAGCTACTGTATGCTCCCTTTTTTTGTTTCCCCAGCCCACTAATATTGCTCCCTCAAACATCCTGGGGTTCATTTCCTTTACAACAGCCAATTATTCACTTGGCTTATAATCGGGTTAAGCTTCTTCAACAGCAGAGATTAATGTCTCCCAGGCAGTATCTGCTGGGCTGTACTACTCTTGCTGCAATTTCCCCCTACTGACTTCTTTCCAAGGGAAGGCTGGAGAGTTCCACCTCCAAAAACATTAGTCAGCCATAATATTGTAATTATATGCTTTTTCTGAAAAAGCAGAGACAAAGGCAGAGGGGGTGACATTTCCAAATGTTATAGTGAATCTCTCTTATTTTTGTCCATGCTGGATTTTTTTGTTGATGTGGAGGCATTGCTTCCATGCTGATTCAATACTTTTTGGAATTTTTAAGACAGGCAGCTCTCAGTAAAGAATTTACTCTTATTGACAACGCATGGGTTAATTTTTAATAAATAAATACAACTAAAGGGATTCCTCTTCCCAGTCTACCTAATCCAAGAAATAATTTAGCCAAATTCCTAGATTTAAAATGTCATCTAGATTATAAATAGTATTTACAGAGATGTCATGAGGGCTTTGGCAGTTGTGAATTTGATCCAAGATGCAGCACCCAAGTCATTTTTTGTGATAGAATAGAATAGAAAATAGAATAGAATAGAGCAGAACAGAATAGAATTCTTGATTGGCCAAGTGTGATTGGACACACAAGGAATTTATCTTTGGTACATATGATCTCAGCATACATAAAGAAAAATAAAATACATTCATCAAAAATCATAAGATACAACACTTAGTGATCATCATAGGTTACTAACAAGCAATCAAACCATACTAGGAAACAAATAAAACAATATAAATTGTAAAGATACAAGCAACATGGTTATAGTTATAAGTGGGAAGAGATAGATACTAGGAAGGATGAGAAGAATAATAGTAATACAGTCTTAGTAAATAATTTGACAATGTTGTGGGAATTAATTGTTCAGCAGAATGATGGCATTCAGGGGAAAACTGTGATTATTCTCTTATTAATATAACCAAACAAGGTAGGGTTCATTTTAAGCAGCGTTATAACTTAGCTAAGCAACCAAATTCTGAAATACCCAGGAAGTACCAATAAATCCATAATGCAAAGAAAAATCAATTGACTTGACTAATATGTGCCAAAAATTCTTAGGCTAAAATACTTTTCTATTTGCAAAGTAAAGTTTTCAGTCTTAAAGTTTTCTTCACTAAGTAAGAACTCTTCTACTTTTACACTCCGTATTTAAATAGGATAGTACCAATTATAAAGCCTTAGTAAGACCACACTTAGAATATTGCATCCAGTTTTGGTCACCGTATTATAAAAAATACATTGAGACTCTGAAAGATTACAGAGAAGAGCAACCAAGATGATTACCGGTAGGTGGCTGGAGGCTAAAACATATGAAATACAGTTGCAGGAATTAGATATGGCTAGTCTTCTTTAAAAAAAGGACTAGAGGGTGATATGACAGCAGTGTTTTAATATTTGAGGGGCTGCCACAAAGAAGAGGGGGGTCAACCTATTTTCCAAAACACCAGAAGGCAAGACAAGAAGCAATGGATGGAAATCAATGAGAGAACCAACCTAGAACTAAGGAGAAATTTCCTGACAATGAGAACAATTAACCAGTGGAATAGTTTGCCTTCAGAAGTTGTGGGTGCTCCATCACTGGAGGCTTTTAAGAAGAGACTGGACAGTCACTTGTCTGGAATGGTAGAGGATTTCCTGCTTGAGCAAGGGGTTGGACTAGAAGACCTCCAAAATCCCTTCCAATTCTGTTATTCTATTATTCTGTTATAGATTGTCATAGATCTTCCTGGAGAAAGTCTATGTGGTAGAAAATGAGTTGATGGCATATAATCAATCAATCAATCAATCAATCAATCTATCTATCTATCTATCTATCTCTTAGAGATAAGCAAGGAGGGGTTTATTATTCTGGTATTATTTTTTTGGCTTCCCACAAGTTATCTGTCTTGGGAGATTTGCCTATGACAATACTTTCTTTCCTTCAGTGGATCTTGAAATTTCTGCTCACTTCTGATCCCATCAAATGTCTTGCCCTGGGCTGTCTTGAAAAGGCTGTCCTAGAATTCATATTGGTCTACTAACCATTATATTTCATTTCTCTTTCTCTCAGCCTTTTCACCCTGCTCTTACCAGCTCAGTAGCTGTCCCTATTTTCTACATTGCCTGTACTGTCAGGGTCAGCTAGAAAGAACAATATGTCAGGCTGGGTGTAAATGGGAGCTCCAGGCAACTGCATGCTGACATAGGAAGTCTTTGGACAACGCTGGTCTTTGTATAAGATTAGTGAATGCTAATTTATATTAAGATGCTAATTTATATGTGCAAATTAAGAGTGAATTATAGTAACTTAAAAATAGCAATTTAATATATTTCACTTTAGTAAGAAATATAAGTCCAAATGAACTGTCTGCCTCCACTGTCAGTCTTTCTCCAGATAATAAAATTGATGGGGAATTTGTAGCCTCCCTGACCATTCTATTTAGCTGAGTTCCTTTCCTCAGTTTAAAATTATTACTGTACTGTTCATAAATGTGCAGAAACTGCATATGCCAAACACAACAAATATTACTTTCATTAAGGCAAACTTCAATTGGGACACAAAAGAGATCATTCAAGCTGATCGTTCCAAAGTAGTGGTAAAATTATTAGATATATATTCCTACATTTTTTATATAAAAGTGCTCAATATTTGTGCATTTTTAAATTTTATAAATTTCAATATGAGTTGATAGTAGAATTATCCTTTGGGTGAAGCCTTTCCCCATATTTTGTGATATAATACTCAGATGCATTAAAGTACAGGTAATCCTTGACATAGAAAATTGTTTAGTGAGGTACTGTCTACCTCATTTTTACACTTATGTGTTGAATGGTGTTTCTAAAATGCATTTGAAAAGTTGTTTTAGTGACCGTTCAAAGTTACAACTGTACTGAAAAAAGTGACTAATGACCATTTTTCACAGTTACGACCTTTCTAGCATCCCATGATCATGTAATCAAAATTCAAATGCTTGGCAACTAGTTCTTATTTTCTGACAAGCAAAGTCAAAGGGGAAGCCAGATTCACTTAACAACAGAAATGTTGTTATTATGTCTCACAATAAAAATGTTGGCCTCAATTGTGGTTGTAAGTCGAGAACTACCTGTATTTTAAAACATATCTTTAGACAACATGCACATATCTAAGTAGATTTTGAAAGATAATTTATTCAAAAACTTACTTTAAAACAACTTTTCAAATGCATTTTAGAAAAAACCACTCAACACATAAGTGTAAAAATGAGGTAGACAGCCTTATAAGTACAGATAGTGTTCAATTTACAACAGTTCATCTAGTAATGGTTCGAAGTTACAAAGGCACTGAAAAAATCACTTATGACTGTATGCTTATGACCACTGCAGCATCCCCATAGTCATATCTGCAGCATCCCCATAGTCATATCAAAAGTCAGACGCTTGGCAACTGACTCATATTAATGACAGTCCTGGGATCATGTGATCACCTTTTGTGAATGTCTCACAAGCAAACACAATAGGAAAGCCAGGTTCACTTAACAACCATGTTACTAACTTAATGACTGTAATGATTCACATAACTGTGGCAAGAAACGGAGCAAAATTCACCTAACAACTGTCTCACTTAGCAACAGAAATTTTTGGTCTCAATTGTGGTTATAAATTGAGGATTACCTGTATGTGTGGAATTAATCTGAACTAGGAATGTATTAACTCCTGCAAATTTGCTGAAGATTGAAATTTTGCTCAATCACTCCATTTTCCCTTATAATTAGAATGGGTATGTGTGTATGTATATCTACTGTATATCATCCACATATACACACTTACACACATATTGACAAAACATTACAGAAAAGAAGTTTAAATGTGATTCTGGCCTATAGTAACAATGAGATTTGTTTGGTTGGTTGTTTTACAATGTGCAGTGAAAGAAACAAAGAATCCTGGTGCAAGTATGAATAAAATCATATTCACAGTGGGGCTTTCCACATAATACTAGATATATTGGGTAAGCTCTGAAGGACTGTTTTCCTCTTTTTTTCTTGGACAGAGTGATAGAAAATCATCATATGGTAGATGGAGAAGAATACGCCATACAATATGCAGAATATGAAGAAGGTTGCCCATTGCAGTGTGACTGTGCAGCTGACTGTTACCAATACGACAGCAGTCACCAAGAATACAGGTAAGTGTCACAGATATCAGCTATGGCTCCAAGGGAAACTCTATTGTAAGTTAGGTGCACTGATTTTCTAGCAAGATTTTAGTATTCTATGAAGTTGAATCAGAGCTCTTTTATTACATGAAGCTTAATTTTACAGATAAGAGCTTTACTGTTGGTTCATTTCAAATGGCAACTGTGGATTTTGAAATCTGCCAAATAATAACACCCAAATAGATTTTTTAAAAAAACAATTCCTATGCCATGAACTTACTTAGATCTTACTTAGAACTTAAAATGAGCAAGTCAAGGAAACAGATGCAGCAGCTGAGCCTATTTTCTAATGCCTAGGAAGAGAGGTTTTTCAGTGAAATTTTGAAATAAAATACTAACTTCCTGACAAATGCAGAAAGCAGTATTATAGTAAATACTGGTAGAACAATCTCAGATTCTTCTACTTTTCTTAGGATAAGCCCACACATCCACCAATGGCATTGCAATTCTAGCTTAGATAAAAGCTTAGATTTCAGCTGTCAGTTGGAATTTTTGACTTTGGGAGATATTTTTTTTTGTAATTTTGGAAGTGATAAAATTTCTTATTTATCTCCTCGCCCTTATTTGGGGTCAGACTTCTATGCAATTCCATGTGACCAGATTTGCTAGCTATTTATTTTCTAGGATGAAAGGTAAAAGGAGTTGGATGTATTTGGTTTGAAGTAAAATCCATCAAAAGACAAGAAGATAGCTGTAGCAGTAAGAGTGTCCATAGAGGGGGAATGTCAAAAAAAAATCAAGATGGCAGCCACAGTTAAAGCCCCATCCCTTTTCTATGTACATTGATGTCACATTGATGATCTTTATGTGACTATATGTTAAGATATTTAAATTTAGTAGCTGAAGCAGTGGGTTGTGCAGTGAGCCAGAACACCGTTATAGTTGATTGATTTGAGAGTGCTGGCTCTTGCATGAGGCAATCTGCACTCTGATTGGTTGCTATGGGTGTGAAGGGGGAGTTTCCCTTTTTTCCTGCCTTTTTCTTCTGTGTGCTCTGTATGCTCTGTGATTTTCCTCATGATGCACCTGTTAGCCTGGCTATCTTGTTTACTGTAAATATAGATGTAACATATATTTATATATATAAAACTACACGTTCTTGTCAGCATCTCCGACTTCATTTGGATACTTGTTGCACAATTCCCTGACACTATAGCTGCCAACTTGATTTTTTATCCCCCCACAATAGATGTCCCATATGTCAAGATAAAACCCTCTAAATTCTCAATTATATTTTACCCTTTTTCTCTGGACTGTCCATTCATGCTCAGAATACCCAGATGTGCCTTTTTTATGCATCTCACTGGTAAAGTACCAATGTTTATTTTAAACTGGGGTAGAAAATCTTCTTCCCTGGCCAAAACAATCTTTTTAATTGTCAGATCTGTGTCAAAGTTGACAGCACTCAGGAGACTAGACTTCAATGGGCTGATTAATCCCCCAAAGGCCACATTAATTTACATACTGTGCAGGTGGCTCCACACTTTATGAATAACCTGATTATACAACATTGAAGATACTGTAAATAAGCTGGGTTTGCACAACATGCTAAGACCCAAAAGAAACAAATGAAGATTCATGCAAAGTGGCTGCTAGATTCTTAACCAGGTCAGGTCCAGGTGTTGTACGCAGCTAAAAGGGATAATATTTATACATCTCTGCTATGCTTTATTAGGGGCAGGCTTCCAATGCCAAAGTATTTGAATGGGGAATAAATCGTACAAATGTAACCAAAAATATAACTTCAAACCACTGTCTAGTTTTCCCAAAGGTGCTTTTTCAGGAGGCAACTGGACTTTCTTTGTTTTTTCTTTTGAAGACGCTTCGCTTCTCATCCAAGAAGCTTCTTCAGCTCTGACAGGACAGTGGGGAATGGAAGTGGGAGTCCTGTCAGAGCTGAAGAAGCTTCTTGGATGAGAAGTGAAACATCTTCAAAAGAAAAAACAAAGAAAGTCCAGTTGCCTCCTGAAAAAGCACCTTTGGGACAACCATGACCTGGATGATTGAGAATCTCTACAGACACTGCCTAGTTTATATCTACTTTCTTTACTGATTATGTAAGACTTCTTTTCATTATTGCAGACTAATGAATTTAAGAGAATTCATCAGGGATGTCTGCAGGGTGTGGTGAAAAAAGCCAAGATTATGGTGCAATTGAAGTTCTGTCGTCTGTCTGTCTGTCTGTCTGTCTGTCTGTCTGTTTGCATCACACTATTGCCATCACTACACAGTTTTTGACCAAACCTACAGATGTTTCTGGAATTTCCTCAACATTGCATCTGATTTTTCTCTTCTCTTCTCTTCTCTTCTCTTCTCTTCTCTTCTCTTCTCTTCTTTTCTTTTCTCTTCTCTCTCTCTCTCTCTCTCTCTCTCTTCTCTCTCTCTTCTCTTCTCTCTTCTCTCTCTTCTCTCCTCTCCTCTCCTCTCCTCTCCTCTCCTCTCCTCTCCTCTCCTCTTCTCTTTTCTTTCCCCTCTCCCTCTCCCTCCCCTTCTCCTCCCAAACACCAACCCCTTTCCTTCCTTGGATCCTTTCCCTTCTCCTTTTCTAGTCAGAAAAAAGAATTACTTACACCATCAATTCCCCACTTTTTGTTCCCAAACATTCCAAAGCAAATTACAAGACAAAATAATTTAACTTTCCAGCACATGAGATGGCCCCAACCTCACCTTTGCTATGAAGTCTTCAGGCTGGATGATCAAATAATCCCAAGGATGCTGCAGTGATTAGTTAGTAATTGGCAGGGGTTAGAACATAGTTGAAGGCCTTTCCAATTCAAACCATGCAAAAATGAAGTTAAACATTTTGTGATTCAGGATATTATGGCAACTGAGTCATGACTGTAGAATGTTGTGCAAAACAGGCCATTGCATAAAGCTATAAAATGGGATTTTGGATAATATTATGCTGTGAACACTGTACTTGTGTTTTGTTTCCCTTTTCCCTTTAGGATGTACTGTAGAGTGTTGCATGAATCCAATGTATAATTTTAGGATTCTGCATTCAGCAATTTTAAGGACCAATAATTTTACCCGACGGTTAATTCTGTATGGAAAAGACCCTGACAATTCTCAGCTTTCTATTTAATTCAGGTCATTTCCTGATTTATCCCTCATGATGATATGAAGAAATAGACACACAAGACCCGTTTTGTGAAATAAATGAAGTCATCATATCTATACTCCCTGTAAAGGGGCCCACTTTTATGTATTAAGTGATAGATATCTTGGCTCTACTGTTGCTGGTTTAGTTTCACTGCTCTTTTAATTTGCTTTTAATCTTACCTTTATTTTCCATTTCTCTATTTTATGGTTTTAATTTCTGTCTATGTCACCCAGAGAGAATACTATAGAAATGCTGTTGTCACTGACACCCACAGATACACAAACACACCCACACCCACACACCCATGCACACACGCACACAGAGGCATGTTTATGTTAAATAATTCTCTTTTGCTTCCCTTCTGATGCATCATTTGGAGCAGCAAACAAAAAATAATTAAGAAATAATTAAGCTTTTATATATATGAAAGTTTGAAACAATGATAAATGCTAATACTAACTATAATATGTACCTCTTTCGAGAGATTATTCCATAAGTGAAGGCAGGGGGACAAATGCTGAGGAACCCTGTGAGGGAAGACCTTTCCTAGAGGTAGCTTAAATCCATCAACTGAGGGTCTTCAAGTGTACAAACATCTCCTCTGGCTTGAAATAATAGTGGCAAAGATAGCAATAGCAGTATCATTTAGACTGATATACTGTGCCTTAGTGCTTTATAGCATTTTCGGAATGGTTTATAGAGTCAGCATATTGCCCCCAATGATCTGGGTCCTCATTTTATTTATCACAGAAGGATGGAAGGCTGAGTCAACACTGAGCCAGTCAGGATTAAACTCCTGATTATGGGCAGAGTTATCTTACAATACATTACTGCATTCTAACCTCTGTACCACCACGGCTCACAAATAAAGACTTATTTTCAAACATAGCAAACACATATTTCTAAAATCAGGAAATGCATTTTTTGCTTATGCAGCTGTTTTCATATTATGTATCTAAAGTTTATTATAAAACAGATATTATCATTTTTGTCTTTGCTCTTAAAATGTTGGAGAACTCTCTTTTTACTCTTCTGGGATTGTCGGAGCTCCCTTTTGACTTGATTCAACATTGTATGCTGACTGATACTACATGTAGTCCTCAAGTTACAACCATAGAGTCCTGCAATTAGTTTGCGGAAAGGATCACATAAGTGATAGACTTGCAAATGAAAATAAAACCAATAAGCATGTCAAGAAATGAATTGGTAGTTATATAAGATGAGTATTTAGTCATTACCTGTACCATGTACTGTACCCTGTAAAGTGGTGCAGTTCAGATTCAGACAAATCTACTCTTCTGCTGTGAGAAATCGTTAAAGAAATGACTGAGTGTCTTCTATTTACTTCTTCCTTAGGCTGAAGAGACAATCTAGTAGCTCCACCTCTCCACCACCAAAGAAGAAAAAGAAAAAAAAATCAGGTCACCGGAGAAACCGGTGAGTCTCTTCAATGGAACTGATATCTGGAAGTCTATGACTTGAATCATGGGCTATCCAATCGAACTGCTTCATTCATGCATTTATGCAGAAAATTCTAAGTGTGATTCCTGATATCTCTAATTAGATCTATACTGAGGGCTTCCAGAACTAGGCTGAAATAACCAGAATGATCCTTAGATGGCAGAAAAGAGTGTTTTCTGTATCTCTGTATTACCATCTATTTCTTGCATGCATTTTGCATCAAAAATAATCTTACACTGCTGCCAAGTAGAATAGTCTACTATATAATAGGCTAGATCACTGGTTCTTAACCTTTTCTTCACCACCACCACCCTTTTGTGGCCATGGTCCATGGCCATGAACCTCCCAAGCCCTAACTCAAATTTTAAATCGTAACATTTCTTCAAGCCTTCATGTATACCCTGTGATGACATTGCAGCCTCCCCAAGGGTCCATGGACCACAGGTTGAGAACTACTAGGCTAGTTGAATCAATGATTTGATAGCCTTTTCTGACCTGATACTCTCCAGTTGCAATGGGCTACACCTTCCTAATGATCTAGACATTAGGGAAGTCATAGTTGCCAAGGTAAAACATCTTGAGAGCATGGGTTAGGGAAGTTAGGAAGGTTTTAGACCCTGAATCTGGCAAAAAGACTCCCTCCTTAGCTGGAAAAGTTGGCTGATATCTGATTCAATAAAATTTAATCTATTGGCAGCCTTCCCAGGTAAATCAGACAGGAAACATTATCAGATGAACTAATTCTACTTTTATTGTAAAACTATACTGACAAAATCGTGCATGCCTGAAAGTACAAATCTCCTGCCATCTCCTTTACAGCCTGAGAAGTTAGGGAGAGTTCCTTCTGAGCCTCGTTCTCTACCCATTATGTAGCTCCAGGCTCTGTCCTCTCTTACCTGACCATTCCTTAAGCAGCATCTCTTCAGGTCTTTCTCACATCACATGATCCTGTCAGCCAAAGAATGTCGGCTGACAAGGACTAGAAGGCGAGCTTTTTCTGCAGTGGCCCCTGAACTGTGGAACAGTGTCCCTTTGGAGATTAAATGGCCCCAACCCTGTTAGCCTTCCATAAAGCACTAAAAATCTGGCTATGCTCGCAGGTCTGGGGCACAACATGTGCCAAGGGCCCTGTCTCCTGGGTATATTGTTAACAGGCCAGATACCTTGCTTTTATATGTATTTTGAATTAGACATTTTTTTTTTTACTGTTTTAATGCTTTTTACTGTTTTAATTATTTCAAAATGATTTTAAAATTTTAATTGTAATATATGTTTTGAATTGTGAACCGTCCAGAGTCATTTGCTGAGACAGATGGCTATAGAAATATAAATACATACATACATACCGGTACATACATACATACATATCGTGTTTCCCTGAAAGTAAGACCCTGTCTTATATTTTTTTTGAACCCTGAAATAAGCGCTTGGCCTTACTGCCATGCACTCAGATTGGTCTTATTACCAGGGGATGTCTCATTTTGGGAGAAACAGGGTACATACATACATACATACATACATACATACATACATACATACACACACACACATACCTTTATATCTAGAGAATATAAAGTCTTCCATGGTCGCCATCTTGTGGGCAAGGTAGATATGATATTAAATGGTTCATTGTTTTAAGCATGCACGTTAACAGAGTTACCAGATCTGGGCTGCATAAATCAAGATAATCACCAGGTGGCAATAAAGCATTAGAGTGTTCTGTATCTTCTTACTACCATCAAGGGCTCATCTGGTTTTCTGCAGCCGGAACTGGTAGCATTAGTATTAACAACACACATATAAATGTTGCGAGAAGATGGAACAAAATGAGACTTTGAATCCTTCCCTATTCTACACTCATTGAGAAAACTCTACCTTGGAAACTATCAAAACTGAAAGAACAAACACTCCCACCCCCATGCCAAATAAACCTTTTTCAATTAAAAAGATATATTTTGGAGTAGGAAGACCACCAGGTGACTAAAGGTAGTGAAGGACTTCTTCTTCTTGTGCCATATCCATCATCGGACGTTGGCAATCATGTTGGCGATCCTATTTTTATCAACAGCCGCATGAAAAAGTGCTGCTGTGTTTTGTCCAAACCAGTCCCTTGGATTTTGAAACCATGATGTTCTTCTTCTGCCTGGACTTTGTGAAGGACTTGGAAAAGTTTTCTTGTAGACCCCATGAAAGGGCAATTGGTTCCCCTCTCCCCACCTGGGCTGTCCATCCTCACCCATTTTTTTGGCTATATAGAAGCAAAGGGAAGCAATCACCTGAGTAATAAATGCTAGGAGACAACAGGAATGAGCTGTCTAGATTATCTTTAGCTTCCCAAGCTGTTCTGCCTATTGAGAACAGAGCCTTTATCTACTAAACTACCGGTAGCTTGCTGCCATCAGCTTTAGGCAAAAATGCTACTCAGCTGCCAGAGCCTTGAGTTTCTGCCTGATAAACAGGGTATAAATCTAAATTTCACTTTATCAGTCAAATGGCCTTCAGTAAAGGGAATGGGGAAGGTGGACACCATCTCACCCTTGCTTCAGAGAGCAAAACCTCTTGCATCAGTAGCATCTGACAATGGTTGGATCTCTGTGAAGATGCTGCCAAAGGATTACCTGGCTTTGTTGCTTTGTGTGAGAGAGAGCTGGACTTTAGGAGGCTCCCTGTACAATTGAGCATGATGGTCTTTGCACTAAACATGATTCACATCCATTAAAGAAGGAAGGCATGGCAACAGGAGCAGTTGTGAATGAAGACTAAGAGATTAGTAACAGAACCAGACAGCCTATTATCTTTGTTTCCAAATGATTCCATCCTTTCTCTAGCTGTTGACTTCCAGGTGTGTTTGCTAATTGAGAATTCCAGGAGTGGAAGTTCCAAAACCTCCAGAGTTTTGCAACTCTTGGAACCTCAGCTTTCTGAGGCAAGCCAATTAACATTGGTTAATTGTTCTCACTGTCAGGAATTTTCTCCTTAGTTCTAGGCTGGTTCTCTCTTTGATTAGTTTCCATCCATTGTTTCTTGTCCTGCCTTCTGATGCTTTGGAGAATAGGTTGACCCTCTTTGTGGCAGCCCCTCAAATATTGGAACACTGCTATCATATCACATTTAATTTTTGCATATTTTTTCAGCTTTGCTGGCCGAAGAAATTCCCCAATTCTTGGACATTTTTAGGCAGCAGTGCCCTTGATCTTCAGGGTGCAATTAAGGCTGAGACCCCCATACATCAGAAAGAAATGGATCAAAGTGAGATGCTGAGGATATCACAACCACAACTGACATCTCCAGTTTCTCCCACTTAATGTAAAGACCAGCCTGCTCCTGTGTCACATATTTTTTAAAATATGAATGGCTGCCCAGCTCTGTTGGTAATATCTCCAGCCGGATAGTGAACTGCAACAAGCTGTGAGAGGCAATGTAGACCAAGGAGCAGGAACACCCATTTCCTTTCTTTCTTCCCACCAATCTTCCATGTTTTCTGCTTAAATGTGCTAGTCTTTTCAGAGAATGACTGTTTTGAGGAACAAAGTTTTTTTTTAGACTGAGTGAGAAGCACTTAAAAAGAGGAACTATAGAGTGGTAAAACTATCTGGCTTTATCTGCTATTCACTCTGTTTCTTCTATGAGTCTTGCTTGTTTGGTGTCTATCAAGCCAACTAGATTTGTCTAGCCATTTGGTAAATGCAGTAAATAATTACTCAAAACAAGAGCAACCTGAAATGTCTCTTTTGACAAAGGCAAAATGGCTGCCTCGCAGGTGAACTAAGATATTTTATAGGGATTGGCAAAGCCTTTAGAAACAACGGTGGCAGCAATTGCCTCAAGCAGGATATCACAGGGGAGAGAGTGTCAAAAAAGTTGATGGATTTGATTATATAGTTGCAACCATCATCTTAACTTTTTGCCTTTAGTCCCGCTGGCCTCAATCCTCACAGGGAGGCTCTGTCCAGAAATACAATGTTTCAGAATTTGAAATGATTGAATGGACGAACACTTTTCATTCTGGGCAGGAAAGCAAGAATGTAATACCATGAGTTAGTAGGGTTTCTACACACATTCCATTATATTGGGTTACTGGCTTCAAAGGACAAAAACAATGGATAAAAAAGTATATTGACCCAGCATGAAGTGAGGAAAAAGTGGAGAAATGGAAGGAGGGGGCCCGGAACAGCAGATTTCAATTAAAATTCTCCCTTCAGGTCTCTCCAGGGATGTTAAAAAGACCTTGAGCATTTATAGCAGTGATGTGTTTGTCATTCTTTGCCCTCCTACTTTTGAACAACTATTTTAACCATTTTAACAGCTTAATCATCTTCTCTTCCTCCAATGGTTGGGAAATGTAAAATGTGATAACCATGTTCCAATCTACACATTAACTAGTCAAATGCAGATTAAAGCATTTTTCAGGAAGATTTGCAAAATGTAACTCCCCGTTGGTTCCTAAATTCTTAGTCATTTTTAAAGTTTCTTCTGAGCACTTACAGCACCTGCTATATGATGATCTTTCAAACTATAACCTCTAAATGAATGATCTAATAAATGCTCACTCTTAGTGCTAACCATATAAAACCAATAGTAAGTGCATCCACAAATAACTTTTGTTTTAAAAGAAATTACTCTGAACTATGGGCAAGGAAACAAATTATAGTACCACCTGACTGGTCTTCAATTGGATGAAATATAGGTGTGACCTGATGAATCCAGAGGAAGATATTTTGGCAGGGTAGCTTCTTATTATATCTCCCTTCGAGCACTAGATGGCATTAAGCTTTCTATTAATATCAGATATGACACACATTCTAATTCCTAATGTTCATGAAGTGGTTTTCAGTTAATTGTTAGAATTCCTTGAGCTTCTTGGAGAAAAGTGTAGGATATTAAATAATTAACTAAAGTCTTCTAGATTGGCTTTGTTTATATGTTGTACTTTCCCATGGATAACTAAAACCCATGATTTTAGTCCAATTTGCACAACATGCTGTATTGAAAACTGAATAATTGGTTGGGTTCATAAAAAAATAGACTAAATATAATTGGCATGTCAATGTTTTATGCTTTGTCACTTAGCAATGCTGCAGAATCTTTATGTATCTCTGTACATCTCTTTCAAAGAGGATCCACAGCTTCTGAAGCCCATTTTTTTCACCTCAATGTAAACTAATACGTTGTTCAGGAAATCTGATATTCTTTAGATACTCATGGATTTATTCAGAGCTCATGCAAGATGACAGAACTTGCAGAAAGTTTATAAATAGAACCTGTGGGGATGGTGAGAGAAAAAGAAATTCCCATCTTTTGATAAATCCAATTTTAGAAGCTGGTCCCTTTCCCAAATTCTCTTTATGAAGAGATTTTCCTTAATATCTGCTTTGTCTGTTTCTGTTTTGCAACTTCAGCAAAAAAAGGAAACCTGGATCAGAGCGTAGGTGAGTCTCAGGTTTTTTGGGGGGAGGGCAACATAATTGATGTCATGCTTTCCCCCCCCAGCAATCTGAAACCTGGATGTGAAAATCCTGTCCAAAATTCTTTGCTCCTGGCTCTTTCAGAGGTTTTTAAACTAACTGAGAATTCTTTTATTGATTAATCTGGCCTTTTGGTTTAAGCTGGTATCCTTTCATTTGTACCCTTTAATTTTCTTGTCCCTGTGGAAAACATACCTACATATAACTACATACTCTCTCTCAACTTTTGTGAAGCTATTTATCTTTTGCAAAAAGCAGTACACTTTCAGAGAAAAGTGCAAATCCTATTCCTCTTGAATGGGGAAAGCATTTCCTAGAATTGCATGGCCTATAATGAGATGGTTACAAAAGAATTCTTATATGTTATTTTCCCTTACAGATTAGGTATCCAGCTAGGGTTGGAGTCTCTAAACAAACCTTCTCCCACCCACCTTTTCCCCCCTCCCTCAAATCCTTTGAATGGTGGAACTCAACTTCAGTCCTAGTACCATCACAGCCTCTCAAAAAGGCCACCTCATGCTGTTCCCCAAGGTGCATGAGATTTCCCCCAGGACCCAGTGCTCTCAGGATCTGTTATATACCACTTACTTTCAGACAATGTTTTCTTTTTATTGACAGGCCCCTGCGGCCTCTACAAGACTACCCCGGGTCACATGAGACCTTCAGCTGCAGTAAATGCTCTATTCTCACATGATTTCTGGAGGCTCTGGAGCCCATGCAAGAGCACAGCCCTTTTGTATAAATTGCAGAAGGTCCATAGGCTATGCCAGAGCACACTCCATTCTCATGAGGCCTCCACAGTCTCCAAAAAGCACACAAGAATTTTGTGTGTTTTTGAGAATAGTTGTTGTTGGGCATTGAGCCTTGGTACTACAGTGGTTTAAAGCACCCTGTTATTAACACAGCTGCCTGCAATTTACTGCTGGTTCGAATCTCTCCAAGGCTCAAGGTTGACTCAGCCTTCCATCCTTTCTAAGGTAGGTTAAATGAGGACCCAGTTTGTGGGGGCAATAAGCTGACTTTGTATAAATATACAGAAGTATGAAGGCTATTGCTTATTGCTTAACGCACTGTAAGCCGCCCTGAGTCTCCGGAGAAGGGCGGCATATAAATCAAATTAAATAAAAATAAATAAATAAATAAATAAATTGATGAACGCTCATGTGTCACTCAAAATGTTGTGGTTCGCCATCAGTGACCCAATGGTTGTCCAGGCCCATGGTAGCATGTGCGTGTCTAAAAAGGCAAGATGGCAGAAAGTGCATGGCAATGCAAGCCCGGTCTGTTTTGCATGAACATTGGCATGTACAAAAGAGATAGGACTTGTACTGTGATGCTTCTGTCATCTTGCCTTTTTGGCATCCCACCAACCTAGACTCCACTGATCCAGAATTTTGTAGCTCATATCAGATACCCATAGCTGGAATTTATTAAGAAATCCCCTTGCATGGGATTACATAGGTGTACATCTATGAGGTTCTGTGATTGTGTGTATTCATGTTGTGCGTGGTCATTCATCTACTCAAACTTCTGCCCTTCTTCTTGCCTTGGGAACTGTAACTCCCATGATGACTGAACATTCTGGCAATATAATACCAAAATATATTCTTAAAAGAGAAGAAGCACTTCATAGAACATATTTCTTATCCTTCATAGTCAGAACCAGCTGGCTGGGGAATTCTGGGAGTTGAAATCCACATATCTTAAAGTTGCCAAGGTTGAGAAATCCTGCTCAGAACTAACAAAAAATCCAATATTGATGCAATGAGTGCAGGACATACATGAGACAAAGACTGAGAAAGATAATGGATCTGTCCATCCATTTTCCCAGGTTCTAAAACTACAGCTTTTCCACCCACTCAGGATATTGGGGATATATAAGACTTAATCAGCCCCTGCCTGCGTTTCTTCCTTCCTACCTTTTACTAACTAACATCTGATACTTGTTACTACTTACAGTGGGGGTAGTTCTTCCCCAGTTCGGAAGGAGAAGAAGAAGAAAAGTGGGAAAAAACACCGGAGAGACAGGTAATCTATTTGGCTATCTTTGTTGAGTGTTTTAAGCACATTCTCATGTATCTCCAGTTAAAAGGAATGTAGCCAACAGGTACAGTTTGTTCTTCAAGTGAGATTGAGGATAGCAAAGGAAACATTGGCCTAGCCTAGAATTTTTAATGTCAGCCATTTTAAATGTGGACTTCAACTCCCAGAATTTCTCAGCTGGCTGGAGAAGTCTGCAAGTTAAAATCCAAACATAGGAAAGTTGATGATATTGAGAAACTCTGGGCTATATGAATCAGTGTGTGTATCCAGTTACTCCAGAGACGATACCATTAGGGATTAAGCAGCCAAAACAAATCTGTCCCATTTAAATTGTGTATTTTTGAGAACAGATTTCCAGTTTAGCCAAATTAGCAAGCATTCATCTTGGCTTGAAAGAACTTTGTCAGGCTTGGATATGGATAGAATTGTTTGTACTTTATAAATCTTACAAAGAAAGTTCTTGTCTTCTTTCTTAAACGTTTAAAAGCCAATTGAATTTACTATATAATATATTGGTAACCTCACTATCTAACTTGCAGACTTCTCCAGCCAGCTGAGAAATTCTGGGAGTTGAAGTCCACATTTAAAATGGCTGACATTAAAAATTCTAGGCTAGGCCAATGTTTCCTTTGCTATCCTCAATCTCACTTGAATGTGTAACCTGCATCTGTACAACAGCCCTCTCTTCTCTTCCTCCACCAACCCAGCGTAAAACCTACAGCAGTTTAGCCACTCTGTGCATCGTGCATTGTGCTGTAAATCATGAAAATGTATGCCTTCTAATGAAATTTGTTAATGTGAAAATAAAAGGACTTCTGATCTTTGGCTGCAACAGATGGCAGTAAAAAAAACAAAATTCACTCCCATTCAAATTATGGTACAGGTAGTCCTTCGCTTATAACCACAATTGGGACTGGAACTTCAGTCACTAAGTCATGTGGTCATTGGGTCATCATGTGACCTCACCTGATTTTACAATTTTTTTTTTATCATGATCATTAAGTGAATCCCGCTTCCTCCATTCACTTTGCTTGTAGGAAGCTGGCTGAGAATATTACAAATGGAGATCATGTGACCCCCCCCTCCCCGATGCTGCAACTGCAATAAATGCATATCGGTTTTCAAGTGCCCAAATCACAATCATGTGACTGTGAGGATGCTGCAACAGTCATAAATGTGAGGATGGGTCATAAGTCACTTTCTTCAGTGCAGTGACCGAATGTATACAATGTTGAGTATAGAAAAATACTGTATACACGAAGGACTTATTGGAAGAAATGATTCAATGCTAGAGCAATTCCATTAAGGAAAAAGATACTGATTCAGCCTCCCAACAGCTAAAACAGCTAAAGGAGCCACTGATCCCCAAAACTCAGAAAAGTTCCTGATGGGAGCCTTCCCTAACAGTTTGGGACAGTATCTTTAGAAGATACAATCATATGACTGTGAGGATGCTGCAACAGTCATAAGTGTGAGGACAGGTTATAAATCACATTCTCCAGTGCCATCAGAATCTTGACCACTAAATGCATGATATAAGCCAAGGACCACTTATAACATGTTTTTATACTTTTATGTTTTTTTTAAATGTTTTTATTCTTTTTAATGCTTTTATGGCACTCATAAAGTTTGGGTTTTAGTGCAGATTGTCAAAACAGATTCAGTGCAGATTGTCCCTTTTTAATATTCACACTTTGGATTTAGTTTCTTGGTCATATTAAACTGTTATGGGATTTGGAGCATGACTCTGTGCTTTGTGTGTGTGTGCGTGTGCATGTGCACATGTGCGTGCACATACATAGACACTCATACACAACTAAACTATACACAAGAACTTTTATACGATGTTGAGTATAGAAAAATACTGTATACACGAAGGACTTATTGGAAGAAATGATGTAATTCAATGCTAGAGCAATTCCATTAAGGAAAAAGATACTGATTCAGCCTCCCAACAGCTAAAACAGCTAAAGGAGCCACTGATCCCCAAAACCCAGAAAAGTTCCTGATGGGAGCCTTCCCTAACAGTTTGGGACAGTATCTGTAGAAGATGCATTAATTTACACAGAAAACACTAGATTAGGGAAGGTAGGAACAGACTGAAGGGCTGGTAATATTAGGAGACATATGACTACTCTCCCAAAGGTGCTTTTTCAAAAGGCAACTGGACTTTGTTTTGGGGTTTTTTGTTTTTGTTTTGAAGATGTTTTGCTTCTCATCCAAGAAGTTCTTCAGAAGCTTCAGAACTGAAGAAGCTTCTTGGATGAGAAGTGAAATGTCTTCAAGGAAAAAAAAACAAAGACCAGTTGCCTTTTGAAAAAGCGTCTTTGGGACAACCATGACATGAATGACTGAAAATCTCCATAGACAAATGATCGCCCTATTGTTTTTTTTTTTAAATAGTTATTTCACAGTATAAGGAAAAAAGGGTAAAATATTACAAGATAGCCAAAGCTTGCAAGATCCCTCCCTCCCTCCTTTCCTCTCTCTTTCTCTCTGAGAAATAGTTATATAACACAATTAAACAGTACACCCTTCTGAGTGAAGACTAAAGCTTCCTGTAGAAATTTCAGTCATTAAGCATCAATGTTGCCACACTTACGCTGTCTCTACTTTGGATTCCATTTTTCTCATACAATATTGTCATACGATGGAATACAGTGTAGAGGAAAAAAAATCTTTAAACATTCCAGTTAATATTTGGTTGTGCTATTAATCCTCTGTTTCAAACAATGTATCCCTCTCCCATTCCCTCCCCTTTGTTTTCCTCTGGTTGGTTGCCTGTCAGGTCTGGATCTGGATCTCATAAGAAGAGGAGGCACAGGTGAGGGCGGACGGTATAGCTTTCTCCCCCTTCTTGTTTTCACTGCTTTGCACTCCAGGCTAGGCCTAGCACCCCTTTCCTTTCTTTGTTCATAGATGCTAACTCTGGCCCTAATCAAGCCTAATTCCTGATGATTACATGGAAGAACCATGTATTCTTGGCAATAACACCAGGAAGATTGGTCAGTGCCTTCCTCTGGGAGGCTTTTCCAGTTTTGTGCTGGTCTCCTGTTCAAGTGCTGACCAGCTCTAATCCTGTTTAGCTTTTGAATTTAGCAAAGGTAAAGTAGGTGCTACTGTCTGCTTTATAATTAGCAAGATAGATAATAAATTGCCTTGCGGTTTGAGGACAATATTAATTTAAACTTAATTATTTGACTCTTTTTTTTGTGATGAGCTTAAAACAGCCTGGCATATTCATACAGATTGCTTTGAAATGGGCTAGGGACTATAGCCGTGATGGCGAACCTATGGCACGCATGCCACAGGTGGCACATGGAGCCATATCTGTGGGCACGCGAGCATTGCCCTACCTCAGCTCCAGCATGCATGTGTGTGCCGGCCAGCTGATTTTCGGGCCTTCTGGGCCCACCAGAAGTCGGGAAACAGGCCATTTCCAGCCTCCAGAGGGCCTTCGGGGGGATGGGGAAGGCCGTTTTCGCCCTCCCCAGGCTCCAAGAAAGCCTCTGGAGCCTGAGGAGGGCGAAAAATGGGCCTACTGGGCCCATCGGTAACCTTTTTGCCGTTGTGTGCCAAAAGCAGGGGAACGCAGTGGGGTTGCACGTGCATGCACAGGGGGCACTGGGGGGCATTGAATTATGGGTGTGGGCACACAAGGGCGTGACCCCCATTTTTGGCACACAACGGCAAAAAGGTTAGCCATCACTGGACTATAGCAAAGATAGCTTTAGAGCTGTAAAGCAGTGCTGTGCTGGTAAGTTTATAACAACCAGTTCTGCCAGCTCCATGTCTGTGGCTATGTTTCGGTTCACTAGGTGTCATAGCTCAGCTTTACTTTCAGCCAGTCTGCAAAATTCCCCAAAATTTGATAATTGGCTCTCACGAGCAGGTACAAGCCAGCGCTAGCACACCACTAGCTATAGGTCAGCTACCATCTTGAATGAAAGATTCAAAATTCAAAAGCTTGGTAGCAGTGAGAAAACTGCTTCACTTGGCAGAAAGGCATCTTCAGGTGATGTTATAGCAACTCATCAAGAAATCTGATCTTGATATCCCAATTAAAAATCCAGAGTAGTAGCTCCACAGCAACCTAACCGTAAGAATTGCATGTCACATATTGTGCCCACACAGCCTTCCCTGACACTGCCCACATCTCCATTCATTTTAGCAACATAAAAGTTTTGCATATGCAGAGCAAAGAGAAGTGAGGTTTCATAAGGGTTGAGATTAGGATAAAAATAAACTGGGGGAGGGGAGACAGCGGGGCATTTGATAAATGAAGAAAAAGGAGATGCCAGCAGATGAGACTATCTGCAAATTACTCAGTAGGCCCAACCAAGTGGCTGTTCCTTCTGTTTGTTTTACCCCACCGTGCTCTCTCTTCTTTCTTTCTCCTTCTCCTGAATATTTTGTTTTCTGCTCTCTTGTAGGTCCAGAAGTCCCAAGAACAAAAGGAAAGAAAAAAATAAAGATAGAAAAAGGTGAGCTTTCAGTTCTCAGTCTGCAATGCTTATGAATTTCTGGAGCTAGAAAACAGGAAGGATAAGATGTTGGTGTCTATAAAATGCATCTGGGTCAGAGGTGGGTTTCAGCAGGTTCTGACCAGTTCTGGAAAATCGGTAGCGGAAATTTTGAGTAGCTCAGAGAACCGGTAAATACCACCTCTGACTGGCTCCACCTCCATCTATTCTCTGCCTCCTGAGATCCAGAGAGGAAATGGGGATTTTGCAGTAACCTTACTCCAGGAGTGGGGAGGGAATGGAGATTTTACAGTATCCTTCCCCTGCCATGCCCACCAAGCCACGCCCACCAAGCCATGCCCACCAAGCCACACCCACAGAACCGGTAGTAAAAAAATTTGAAACCCACCACTAATCTGGGTGGTAAGTGTGATATAAAGCTGGTGTTTTATTCCCATTTAATAAAAACATTCCTTCCTATGGAAAGAAGAAGGAAGTGGAAATGCCACACTTAAGAAAAGGCATTGTCTCTCATGTAAGGAAAGTGCTTCATCCAAGAAGAGGATCTCTTTCCTATATATCAGAAAGGAGGAAAATGCTTCTTTTAAGACAGCCTTTAAAATCCTGTACTTTAATATTTTTGTATAAACCTCTGATTTAAACAATTTTAATTCATCAATAGTTTCTTTTTCTTCCTGTTAGCTTGTTGCTTGTGTTGGCTCCAAGAACGTAGCATTAGCAGATGTAGCAGTGCTGATATTAATACTGGAATAGAGCTTGATGGAAGTTGCCAGATCACAAAAGGGAGTGAGATCAACAAATGGAGCAGGGCAAGAAAATGCTAAAAAGTCTCCTTCTAAGCATTTCAGTCTTTGCTTCAAACTAATGCTTTAGAAAGCATCTTTCTAAAGTAGGCAGAGTATCTACCTGTGATATGTGTTATATCTCACTGGCAGTGATATATGAAGTAGATCTAAAATGGAGGAATTCATCAGAAGGTGGAATAAATTATATCACTTGATTTTACATGGGGGGGCGGGGAGAAGATAATTAATCTGGGGCACTTGCTTTGTTGGCCAGGCCTAAATTCATCATAGTTTGGCCACAAGGGAATTTCTATGGATTGTTTACATTACTGACAGGAGAGCCAGCTTGGGGTAGTGGTTATGACATCAGGCTAGAAAGTGGGAAAACATGAGCTTTAATCCTGCCTTAGGCATGAAGCCAGATGGGTGACATTGGATCAGTCATTCTCAGCCCATGGAAGAAGAAGGCAAGGAAAAGCCTTACCATGAAAACTGCTGGAACTTGCCCAGGCAGTTGCCAAGTTACTTATAGAATCATCTTCTTGTGCCATATGCGTCATTAGACATTGGCGATCATGTTGGTGATCCTATTTTTATCAACAACCACACAAAAAAGTGCTGTTGAGTTTTGTCCAAACCAGTCCCTTAGATTTTGAAACCTTGATGTTCTTCTTCTGCCTGGACTCTGTTTGCCTTCAATCTTTCCTTGTAGGATTAAGTGAAGTATGCCGTATTTTTCCGGGTGTCACATCACATGTCCAAAATATTCTAACTTTCTCTTTTTTATGGTTTTGATGATTTCCCTTGACTTTCCCAGGTGTCTTATCATCAGTCTTTCCTAATTCAGTATGCTTCAGAATTCATTTGCTGGGATTATTAATTTATTAAATGTACAAGGCCACCTGTTCATTGCAACTCTGGAAAATGAAAACAATGTTAAAACAATTTAAATGTTTGAACAGAAGAACAACAAGCTTCCAGAAAAATTGGGAATTACAGTCCTAATACATTTGCAATGAGCAAGTTGGGAAAAGCTGGATTATCTGCAACAATAATTCTCCATTTCTCTTTTAAAAGATCAAATAGAGCAGGAGTCCTGAAAAGCACTGACATGAGCTCCATGTTGCCTTATCCCTGATTAAAGTAATAACTTCTGAATAACTGAGATAAAGACTGTTGATAAATTTGTGGGTTTGAAGGAAATTAAAATTGAATTGGGAATGGAGAGATCATTTTGAACATTTTGCTTTTTCTTCCAGAGAGTTGAATCTGATTTACTCTCCCTCACAATACCCCCGTGGGAAAGTTTTTAAATCAGAATAGGCAATGCATCTTGGGCATTGACATTGTCTTTTGATCCTGTGTCTAGCAAATGCTTGTCTTTTCTCCTTTATTTATAGTAGAAACCTTTAAATATCAGAAATAATTTCAGATTTACAACCTGAGAAGCATGTAGAGAGCTCTTATTTAAAAGATTTGTATGCTAGCCCATGTTAAAAAAAGTCCAGGCGGCTCACAACAGCAGTAAAACCCAATATGTATAAAACACACCCATAAAACAAAACAAAACCCTGGTGCTATAATCATCCCTTTGGGAAGCTGCATAGCCAGCTCCAACATTTCATTCTATTTATTCTATTCTATCCCAGCGCCTGGGTAAAGAGCCAGGTCTGGGTAAAACGCCAAAGGCTAAAAGGGTGGAGACCTGCCGGAATCGTCAGGGGGAAGATGTTTTGTAAGGTAAGGGCAAAAACAAAAACCTTGTTTACAAGATAATGGGCTTTATCAGGACAATCATTTTTTTCAAAATACACTCAGGCTGGGTTCTTGAAAGACTCTTAATCAGATCAGTTACACATTTTGGTTAGGTTCCTTTTGTGTTACTTAGCTTACCGTGTGAACCCATCAAGTTTGGTTAATTCATGGTTCACTGGATTCTGAAAACCCAGTTTAATTTGGTAACCAGCAGCCACCTCTGCAGCTTGTCACTAGTTTTATAGGTACTTGTCATTTAATGACTGTCTTGTTTTAACAACTGTTCAATCATTACAGTAATGAAAAAATAACTTTATGACCAGTCTGTGCATTTATGCTGCATTTGCACACAAAAGTACTGAAATTCTTCTTGAATGATAATTTTGCTGGATGTGGATGGGGAAACACATGCAGTACAAGGAAAAAAAAACCCTTTATTACTCATAGTTACCTCAAGCTATTTTTCTTAATTGAGTTTCCTTCATTACTAATAAGGGGGAAAGATGCAAAAATTCCAGGGGGAATTCTGGAATCTGCAGGAAAATGAACTTCTTCAAACATTCTACTCTGAGAATACTGTACTCAGTGGAGCTTGAAGAAACAGGACCCTTAGCTCCAGGGAATTTTAAGAGGTGAAGTCCACACATCTTAAAGTTGCTGAGATTGAGAAAGACTGCCTTAGAGAATAGCCACTGGGGCTGCAACAGATTCTCATAGGATGAGATACTATTTGTTGCCATCCAACCCCACAAGCAGAAAAATGCCATGGGAGTCTAAATGGTGCAGACTTAAAGGAAGACATTTTTCCTCTGAAATGCTACTCAGATGTGTGTGTATATATATATATATATATTTGTGTGTGTGTGTGTGTGTGTGTGTGTGTGTGTGTGTGTGTACATAGTTTCTAAGAGTGACAAGAAGCATCACTGATAGTACAGCAAAGTTTCCAGAAGAAGCAAGGGCGAAATTGATTTAAAAAAAATACTGGTAGCTTGGAAAAATTCTTTTGAAAAAAAGTAAATGTTCAAATCCAGGATTGGGACATTGTCAGAGGCTCAGGCTGTTGCCCCTCCTGCTTTCTGGCTGGCTGAGGACCTTGAAGAGAATCTGACTCTGCATTTTTCCCCCCTTTGTTCTTGTTCAGAAGCCTCTGAATAAAAGTCCAATGTCTTTGTAGGTTTTGCTGTTGAATATTGTGTTTTCTTTGTATCTCCTTTTCTGTTCCAACATTTAAAGATCCTTATTTTCATAAGAGTTTCTTTACAAGCATTTAAATATTTTCCATTAAAATGTCTGTGAAAACAGCAAGTTGATAAGAATTGACATTGGAGCACCCCAGTTAATATCCAGAGAATCCCCAGATTGACATGAATAAAGACAAAAAATAATAATGAAAAACAGTCTGAATCTTGCACACCTGCCAAATCTCCCAGTATCTGAGGACCTTCCTATAAGATCATATGAAATTTTAGGGTTTAGGGTTTATTTTGACCATAAAATGAGATTGACCTGTGACATCCAATTTTAAACAGCTTGCCTTTCCCGGCAATAGGACAACAAGATCAACAGCAGCACTTGACAGGGCAGGTTTGTTTGTTTGTTTGTTTGTTTGATTGATTTGTTGGTTAATTTATGCAATCAAGCTATTTTTGACTCCTAGCACAGCATAACTGGATTTTATCAATGACAATCTATCCTTAACGTGGTCATTCGAGTCTTTGCACCCATCAGCATTGTCATTGAGTCCTTGCTGCTGGTCATCCTCTTCTTTTCTTCCCTTCCTCCTTTCCCACTACTGCAGTGAAAACCAGAGAGTTAGTCAGCAGCACTTGAGGGGCAGAACAATCCATAATTTCGAGTACAACCCTGCTAATCCCATGAGAGAGTATCCAATCACTGTTTTCTGCTTAGCTACCTTATGCTCCAGCTTCTCACTGCCTTCTTACAGATCTCACAGTGAACTGTCTCCTCGTCGCTCCCACAGACACAGCAGCTATAGTTCTCGGAGCCTTTCTCTTTCCTCGGAATACAGTGACTGCAAATCCACAAGCAGGTAAGCTGTGGTTGAGTCTGATCTGGCACATTTTTAGTGGAGATGCAATATTATTTACAATTTCATTTAGTCAATTTCTAAGGCTGCCTGATCCTCAAGTAATTCAAAGTGATGCACAATAAAAACTAAAAATGGTAGCAGGGAATACAAAAACTCAACATTCCAGTAGGTTTACAAATTGCTATGGTCCAGAATCTGCTCAATGAGCCAGGTTTTTCCCCCCCCAGTTTTCTTTTAAAGGACAGGAGCACGAAAGAGGAATACAACTAAATAGAGTTCATTTTATTCAAGGCAGCCCCTGAAAATCCTTCCTAACTTTAACTACATCTGTACAAGAACACATATCTCTAAATAACTGGAAATGAAATTTGACACAAACTGTTTTGCAACATTGAATTAAATATGGCTGCTGTTCAGTTAAAGTACTGAATTATAGTATTAACATTATTTGGTAAGAAGTGTGTCAGCAAATAGGAGAGAAAGAGCACTGGATTCAAATCTTGTAAAAGTGACTGTTTGAAGATAATACCTAATGCAGTAATTCCCATATAAGGACGGCATTAGACTGGGGAAACTGGTCTTAAATACCATGGTAAGGACAATAATTTTCTGTACAGCTTTTCCACAAGTAGACTTCCTCTGATTCAGGGGTAGGCAGTGGAAGACCCAGGCTGCATGCAGACTCCTCCAAATATTCTTTTTTTCCCCCTTTTGGCAATCTGTGGAGTGGCTTGTAACTCTGATTTAATCAGAGCAACAAAACAACAAGGCTTTCCATCAGCTGAGAAAGGTAATATATAAAAAGCATAAACTCCAAAATAAGATTAATACAGTTGATTTTTTTAAAATCCCAAACTCTCGAACCCCTCCTTTCACACATATGTGTTCAGAGGAAAAAGGAAAATCACAGCCCAACTATAAATGCCACATTTTGCATCCCTGACCTGTTGTGATAAACAGCAGCCTTCCCTTCTGCTATCTGCCTTCAGTATGACTTACGAGAATAGACAGTTCCTCTGCCTTCCCTTTTGTCTACAGATTGAGCCCCAAATACAGAGAGGATGGTCAAAGGGCCAGCAGCCACAGATCCAGCCACAGCCCATCCTCCTCTTGCACTGGCCACAGCCGATCAGCCACGCCTCATCAAAATGGGCACAAGGGCAGTGCCCAGAATGGCCGCCATAGCCATGGTGCCCTGTTGGAGAAGAAACAGGAGGTATGGATGCTTCTGTTTTTACCATGATTTGAGCCTCACCTATTCCTCCTTTCCAAAACAGCCTTGTCCCCTCCTTTCACTCCTCCCTTGTTCTCTTTTGGACACTTTGCTCAGGATATGATGGATAGCAAAGGCTCCGTTGATTCAGAGTGAGATTCCCCATAACCATTATTCTGCTATGCCAATTACAATCCAGCAATCTACATCCAAGCACCTTCATATACCTGTACAATATGAAGGGGCAAAAAATTGAAACCATGGGGAGAAATGAACTGTTTCTCAGGTTTTAGTTAAGATTAGGAATGAGGGGAAAAGTTTGCTGGCAAATCTTTTCAGTTCAAAAAGTTGGGGTGTTGCAAGTGCAAAACATTCTAAATCCCATTTTTCTTTCTCTCTTTCTCTCTCTCTTGTGCACACAAATACACACACAAAATGCACACACACCTCTATCACCCTCTTTCATGGCCTGTTCATGATTTCTGGCAATTGTAGAGATTGTTAACTTTTATCCACAAGCCGCTTCGAGGATAGGAACATTCCTTAAATCAGTGGGACAGAGCATATTCTTTGTTTACAGGAGATCCCCAGAGGCAGTCTGTAACTGCTTGAACCCCTCAAAAGCCATTAAGTATAGATCAGTGTTTCTCAAACTTGGCCACTTGAAGATATGTGGATTTCAATTCCTAGAAATCCCCAGCAACCACAGATCATCCTTCTGTAACCTCTAAATGTATTGAATTACAATTCATAAAATTCCATTGCTAAGTGGCCAAAAACAGGGAGTTGTCATTCATCATCTTTGGAGGGTGGCAGGATGAGAAAGAAAGTCCATTTAGGACAAATAATGCTGAAGTGTATAAGGCATCTTCCTATTTTGAAGATATTGTTCACATTGCCTTGTTCTTTTGATGTCAAACATAGCTGGGTATTAATCAAAATCTCTAGTGACAGGGCAGTGGTTCCTGCCACTATTGTGACATTTTAATAGTAATCATAATAAATTAAAAACTAAAGAATTGTCACTGGAAAAAATAAGGAGTATGATCATTTGTACTGTGAATAGGAAGATGATTCATTCTTGCTCATTTACCCTCCTTTCTAAAAAGTCAAGAAAAGGAAGAATTGTCCATGACACTTTCACCCACAGTTTCCTGGGACAGTTGCTTGTTTGTTAGTGGGCCTTTCTGAAGGAACAAGAGTGGCAGAATCGGGGGGGGGGGTGGAGTTAAAAGGAGGATAAGCTTAGAATCCCTACATAGCCACAAGTGAACTAAGCCCAACCTCCCTTGAATTCCGTTGACTCTTATCTAACCCCAAGCAGGTGTTAACCATTAATTGAAAAGATTCTTGTGCATTAGTGTGATTAGCAATAAATCAGTTTAATTGGATCTTCATAATCTCAAATTCAAATAACTTCATTTCAGTCATTAACCTGCAGAAGTGGACCTAATCTTTCACTCCTGACATTAATCTTCTCAGGTCAATGAAATTCAAAGGAGGTTGGACTTAGTTCATTTGTGGTTATGTAGGGATTCTACGCTAACCTCTCTTTTAATCCCACTCCAAATTTTGCTTCTCCTTCTCCTACACTGTCATAACAATATCATCTAAACCCAACCCAAACATAGTTGGAAATAAGTAATAAATTTGCTCTTGTCTTACATCAAAAAATTCAAAGGACCATTATAGAACCATTGATAGTCAAGTAGTATCCACTTTTTTTTTCCCAACTTCATGGTTGCCTCTGGTCCAAATATTTCATAAATGCTCTGAAAACTCTGGAAACTAATTTTGCAAAACATAGTTACAGGAAACTAGATGTTTTTCAGTTATGCTTTATTTTTTTAATTCTTCAACAATTGGAAATATGTAATGGAAAGAGAATATACAAATCACTTAAAATAATATGAATAAATATAAAGATCTCATTTGGCAGACTACTTTTTGTCTCTATTAGTAGCATTGTTGGTTGTTCATTCCTTATATTGTAACATATCTGTCATTCTGGGGGGAAAGAAAATAATCTGCTGCAGGAATAGGAAATCTGTAGCCTTTCAACTATTGTTGAATTCCAATCCCACCAGCCCTATCCAATATGACCAGTGGTCAAGGATTCCCAACAGATTCCCAGCTATTTGCTTTCTGCCAAGAATCTTATGACAGAAGACATAGTTTGCATACATGCAAACATATTATATTCTCAGGAAGCCTTTGATATAAATTAGATTGTGAGGCAATAACAGGCCCAGAATCACCCAATGAATTTCATGGCAGAACTCAATGAGTGATTGATTACTGAAGTGATCCAGTGTTGAAGTGATCTGGCAGTAAAATTTCAGGCACCATAGAGGTGGAAGGAAAGGCCATCACATTTTCAGGATGACAGAGAGCACTTGGAAGAAGTCTTAGCTCAGTTGACCTCAGATGTCTTACAAATGAAGGTGAATATATGTGTCCCCTCAGATGTCTTAGCTCAAATGATTCCGGATGAAAAACTCATTATTCATTGTCAATATCTTACTTGCAACTTATTTTGACCCAATGAGATTATTGCATTGGATGGCACTACTAGTCTATTTGAAGAAGGGGAGACCTGACTTTAGGGACAGAGTCAGGCATTACACGATTTTCTGTTGCCTGTCTCTTTAAGAGGCATTTAGCTGTATTGAGCCATGTGTACTGAGACCTCATTTCTGGCTAAGGGGTGTTCAGGCTTTGGGCTGAACACCCCTTTCATGCTCCAGCATGGAATCCATTACCTAAAAACAGAGCTCCTGATCTTCCCAATTGTTAATGATTTATTAAAGCAAGCCCCTGCAAGTCATCTTCACAGAGAATTAAATCGGGCTCTATATTTCTGCTCAGCTTACCCATTCTTTTTTCTTGGTCATAAGCCTTACCCCCATTTTGTGTCTCAAAACAACATTTGCTTGTTGTTATTCTTATCATTTATATTTTTCTTCTTTCCATGTACAAAACATACGTGCATGTACACATAAACACACAGTACTGTATTTATTCCATTCATGTCAATTTTATGCTCTTTGCTTTTAAAACAATGCTTTAAAGCAGTGGTTCTCAACCTTCCTAATGCTGCGACCCTTTAATACAGTTCCTCATGTTGTGGTGACCCCAAACCATAAAATTATTCCTAAAACCATTAAAAATATGTGTTTTCCGATGGTCTAAGGCAACCCCTGTGAAAGGGTCGTTCGACCCCCAAAGGGGTCGCGACCCACAGGTTGAGAACCACTGCTTTAAAGCATAATGTGACTTGTATGCCCTGAGAAATGGATCAATTAGAGAACAAAAGGGGCTTTGGAAACCTCAGTAGAGGCCACCTACTCTGCCTGAATCCCTATTCCAGCATCAGTTTCATTGGATCTGATATTTTTTTTCTCCAATATCAGCTGCAATTGGGCAATCAATTCATTATTAATGCAGAGATCCAAGATAATGGCTTAATTTCAGAAGAAATAACCAATAATAGCTGGATGAATCCAAGTTAGTGAAACTGTCTTAAATCCTAATATTTAATCTATTAATATGCTTCACTTCTCTGAAATTTTGGAAATATTTATTTAAAATTGATTTTAAAAAAATAACTAGCTTTAAAGATTCCAAAATAAAGCCCTTCTTGTCCTGCTTCACATTTTCCTGTTTTAAACACCAATTACTTTCAAAAAGTCTTTATTTTTTATCTGAAACTGTGCTTTTCTTTAGCCCCCAATTTGAAATGTGGTAGCTTGATTTCTTGCTCAGTAGAAACAGGAAAGGGGGCTAGAGGGGCTTTTATTTCATTCTGATTTCTTCCACTTTGTAATGTATAGAAATGCAAACTGTTCACTTTTTCTTTTTTCTCTATTGTCATTTGGATCTAGAAATATATATATATATATCTAGAACTAGCTAGATGAATCTAGAAATATATATATGTGTGCGTGTGTGTGTATACACATGTACATGTGTTACTGTAGAACCCTCCAGCCAATTATGAAATGCACAGATACCTTTCTGTACTTATTTATGACTCTTAAACATTTTGGTTTCTTAGATTTCATGTTTAAAAGGGAAAACAATTACATACATTGTTAAAAAAATAAGTTCAATTAAACTTTACTTAAATTTTAGCTTTTGCCAAGTGGAAAGATCTGTTAAGCTGTTCCAGAGATTCTTTTAAGATAAAAGGCAGATTTTAAAAAGTTAGAATAAAATTAAAACTTTTGAATCCAAATATATTTCAATAAAATTACCAGAAAAATTCAGAATCTGAATTATCTTCCTTCACCTGGTCATTAGGCTAATTATAAGATTGCCTCTTCTGATTTCTGGTTTTAGGGACACAGAAATTAGGAACTCTTTTGCCTCTAAACCAGAGAGGCATACACTGCTATTCCAAACAATCATATTAACAATGTTGAATTTAATTTTTATTAAGGTAACATTAAGCAAAATTAAACTTAGTTTTTGTTCTGCCCAGCCCTCTTTATCCTGCTCCACCCACCTTATAAAATGTAACCCACAACACACCATTAAAGATTGCAAGCTGCCTGTGTCCTGAATTACTACCTCCACATTAGCATGTCTCCAAACACCAGCTACTGGAGAATAGGAGTTGGGGAGGACTGTAGCCATAGGTAGAAAAGGGTGGAGGTAGGTGAGGAAAACTACTGCACCCCAGTATTATGACACAAGTGCCATCCTTTATCGATCCTTAGTAGAACACCAACTTCTCTGAGCTGATATCTTTGGTAGGTTTTCAACTTATAAAATACAATCAGCAGTATTGCTGTTCACCTATCCCCGAATCATCCAATTCTCTCTGGAAAACCAATTAAAACAACTTGATAGGTAGATATAGGAGTAGAATTCTATTAAACTCAAAGAAATGCTGACTTCCCTTATAAAGAAATCCTTTCAATGTTCATGTCAACTTTTCACATAATGGACCTCCTTTACAGCTCTTTCTTTCGGTCCATACACTGCCCTCCCATTTCTTA